GTCCATCAGTACTGTTGAATGCAATCCATTCAGTCGTTGTTCATGTTGGCCACTTGCCGCAGTAGCCAAACCCGGATGTTGTTGGGACTATTCAGGGAGCGGGAGCGGGGGGGACTAGCTAGAGGGGTCTTTCGTAGGCTGACGCCTGAATATGTAAATAACAAAACATCTACGGGAGGGAACAAGGGACTCAGAATGGATCGCCATGAGCTTCGGGCTAGATTCAGTAGAATTCTCTGAGGACGATTAATTAGGTAACGGCGACTATCTGCGACGGTCCAGATTTTGGTCACTAGGCGCAACACACCGTAAACCGCTCATCGAACGATCCTCCTACAATAAGTAGATGCACTTTAATAAGTAAAGTAAGCGTTTACTAGGCACCAGCATTTGTGTGTGGTTATTCGCTGAACAGGAAATGTTGCCAGTGGAGACGAAGGAAATTAGAATGGCAGCCTTCCCTGTAGCCGACGCCCAACATTGCTGTATCCGGCTTCCTTGTTCAAGGCCGGTTGCCTCAGATGATCCACTATCGCAGTGAGCGCTTTCAGACACGCTCAGGAAGTCGCGATTGCCTAAGCGTCACTTGAACACGTCCCTTTACCGCCCTCCCCCCCCCTCGGCCGATAGAGCATACACTATCAGCCACGACACCCTTCGGGTAATGTCGCTAAAGACAGCAACTGGGAGTTCTGTGTACAATAGAAACCTCTCACAGATGCCTTTACCTACAATTTGGGAATTGGCCTCGAAATGGTAGTGCTCTGAGTGCTGACACTGCTTGGACTCCCACACTGTCTTACTTCCGCATGCATGTGGGGGTCTAAGCTGTGAGTCTGCTCAGAGTACTACAAATATCACGCCCAGTTTCGTACAGGAAGAAGAGGGGTGAGACCAGGGGGAGTTTTTTATTGTGTACAGGAAGTCAGTGGTGGTCTGAAGCCCCGACGCGCGGCGTGCCTGCGCGCGCGTCTGTCTGTTGGCGTGATGTGGGCTTGTAAATGAATGCGCAAACGTCATGTGAGAGTGAGTCACTGGCCGCTTGATCAACTGCTTGTCCAATAGCAATCTACGGCCCTTGTGATTGGCTGACCCAGAAGGAAGTAGAGAAGCGAAGTCACGTGGAGGTTTGCGGGCTTGGCGCCGGCGATTTGTGTGACGAAAACTGCCTAAGGTGTTTCGAATTCTTTAGAAATAACGGTAGGGCACGGCTGAACATATCCGCGGACTAGCAATAATAATTGAACCGCGATTCCCCTGTGGTATATCAGGAGGAAAGAGGCGTTCGTGAGGATAGGTG